CTCAGTCCTGGGTCTACAGCCTCAGTCCTGGGTCTACAGCCTCAGTCCTGGGTCTACAGCCTCAGTCCTGGGTCTACAGCCTCAGTCCTGGGTCTACAGCCTCAGTCCTGGATCTACAGCCTCAGTCCTGGGTCTACAGCCTCAGTCCTGGATCTACAGCCTCAGTCCTGGGTCTACAGCCTCAGTCCTGGGTCTACAGCCTCAGTCCTGGATCTACAGCCTCAGTCCTGGGTCTACAGCCTCAGTCCTGGGTCTACAGCCTCAGTCCTGGATCTACAGCCTCAGTCCTGGGTCTACAGCCTCAGTCCTGGGTCTACAGCCTCAGTCCTTCTCGGACGTTTTGCTGCCATTGTTTTTTTGAGGTCTCTTTGACGTCTTTGTCCCGGTTCCTCTTCGACAGCGCCAGGTCTTCAGTCCAAGTACAATCTCTACATGTTTACAAATGTCCAAACGTCCCATGATCCTTTGCTGCTGGTCCCGGTTCCAGAGACACATCTGGTGCCACTCACGGCAAACAATGGTGGCACGAGCCGAGGCCAAGTCCAAACAACTGTGTGACATTTAAACAAACACGTCGCAGAAGAAGCCAGAACAACAGACTCTCAGCAGACGAGAGAGATTAGAGCGAGACGAGAGAGATTAGAGCGAGAGAGTCTCAGGGGCGAGCGAGAGCAGGACGAGAAACTTGTTGTAATCCAATAATAAAGAGTTCAACAAAATACAGAAGAGACAACAAGATATTAACAAAGACAAAAGTCTCTCTCTGGTCTCTCTCTGGTCTCTCTCTGGTCTCTCTCTGGTCTCTCTCTGGTCTCTCTGTTCGGTCTCACTCTGGTCTCTGTTGCAGGTTCCCTCACTCCCTGATGTTGGGTTCCTCAGGGATGCACCCCACAGGGATCCCTCATCCGGCCATCATCCCCCCCTCAGGGAAGCAGGAGCCCGAGCTGTACGACCGACACCTCTACGGGTAACACAACACACAAGTGTTACATAAATAAATGTCCCTCTGGATACAAGAAGGCTCCGGTGTTGTTAAAGTGTGTTACATAAATAAATGTCCCTCTGGATACAGGAAGGCTCCAGTGTTGTTAAAGTGTGTTACATGAATAAATGTCCCTCTGGATACAGGAAGGCTCCAGTGTTGTTAAAGTGTGTTACATGAATAAATGTCCCTCTGGATACAGGAAGGCTCCAGTGTTGTTAAAGTGTGTTACATGAATAAATGTCCCTCTGGATACAGGAAGGCTCCGGTGTTGTTAAAGTGTGTTACATGAATAAATGTCCCTCTGGATACAGGAAGGCTCCGGTGTTGTTAAAGTGTGTTACATGAATAAATGTCCCTCTGGATACAGGAAGGCTCCAGTGTTGTTAAAGTGTGTTACATGAATAAATGTCCCTCTGGATACAGGAAGGCTCCGGTGTTGTTAAAGTGTGTTACATGAATAAATGTCCCTCTGGATACAGGAAGGCTCCGGTGTTGTTAAAGTGTGTTACATGAATAAATGTCCCTCTGGATACAGGAAGGCTCCGGTGTTGTTAAAGTGTGTTACATGAATAAATGTCCCTCTGGATACAGGAAGGCTCCGGTGTTGTTAAAGTGTGTTACATAAATAAATGTCCCTCTGGATACAGGAAGGCTCCGGTGTTGTTAAAGTGTGTTACATGAATAAATGTCCCTCTGGATACAGGAAGGCTCCGGTGGAGGTGAAGAGGGAGAAGGAGCCGAAGAAGCCGGTGATAAAGAAACCTCTGAACGCGTTCATGTTGTACATGAAGGAGATGAGAGCGAAGGTCATCGCTGAGTGTACGCTCAAAGAGAGCGCCGCCATCAACCAGATCCTGGGCCGACGGGTGAGACTAGGACGAGACCGAGGGGAGGGGAGGGAGCAGGAAGAGCCCAGAGTGAGGCCAGAGAGAGACCAGCAGAGAGACCCGGAGAGAGACCAAGACCAGGAAGAGACCAGGTTGAGAGACGCCAAAATGAGAGAGACCAGAGAGAGAGACCAGAGAGAGAGACCAGAGAGAGAGACCAGAGATAGAGACCAGAGAGAGAGACCAGAGAGAGAGACCAGAGAGAGAGACCAGAGAGAGAGACCAGAGAGAGAGTCCAGACAGAGAGACCAGACAGAGAGACCAGACAGAGAGACCAGACAGAGAGACCAGACAGAGAGACCAGACAGAGAGACCAGACAGAGAGACCAGACAGAGAGACCAGACAGAGAGACCAGACAGAGAGACCAGACAGAGAGACCAGAGAGAGAGTCCAGAGAGAGTGAGACAACAGAGACCGACAACAGTACCATGTGTATAGTGGACCTTCTCCTGCTCTCTTACTTGAGTCCAGATGTTTGTAAATGTGGGGTTTCTCTCGTTCTCTGTCTGCAGTGGCACGCTCTGACCAGAGAGGAACAAGCCAAGTATTACGAACTCGCCCGAAAAGAGAGACAGCTCCACATGCAGCTCTACCCCACATGGTCCGCCCGCGACAACTATGTGAGTTGCACCAGCATCATACGAGCAACCTCCAGCACATGGTCAAGGGTCAAGCCAGCAGTAAATAACATATTGATCTCTGAGGAGGCTAACGTTAGCACATGTTAGCATGCTCACCTGCGCTGTTAGCTAACATGTCCTGGAGTCAAAGTAATAAGTCCCTAAACTCTGCCCACAGCTCTACAGGACGTATTCCCCTCTGTCTCCTCGTGTCTCTGCTGTTCACATAAACACGTCCCTCTGTCTCCTCATGTCTCTGCTGTTCACATAAACACGTCCCTCTGTCTCCTCGTGTCTCTGCTGTTCACATAAACACGTCCCTCTGTCTCCTTGTGTCTCTGCTGTTCACATAAACACGTCCCTCTGTCTCCTCGTGTCTCTGCTGTTCACATAAACACGTCCCTCTGTCTCCTCGTGTCTCTGCTGTTCACATAAACACGTCCCTCTGTCTCCTCGTGTCTCTGCTGTTCACATAAACACGTCCCTCTGTCTCCTCGTGTCTCTGCTGTTCACATAAACACGTCCCTCTGTCTCCTCGTGTCTCTGCTGTTTACATAAACACGTCCCTCTGTCTCCTCGTGTCTCTGCTGTTCACATAAACACGTCCCTCTGTCTCCTCGTGTCTCTGCTGTTTACATAAACACGTCCCTCTGTCTCCTCGTGTCTCTGCTGTTCACATAAACACGTCCCTCTGTCTCCTCGTGTCTCTGCTGTTCACATAAACACGTCCCTCTGTCTCCTCGTGTCTCTGCTGTTTACATAAACACGTCCCTCTGTCTCCTCGTGTCTCTGCTGTTCACATAAACACGTCCCTCTGTCTCCTCGTGTCTCTGCTGTTCACATAAACACGTCCCTCTGTCTCCTCGTGTCTCTGCTGTTCACATAAACACGTCCCTCTGTCTCCTCGTGTCTCTGCTGTTCACATAAACACGTCCCTCTGTCTCCTCGTGTCTGCTGTTCACATAAACACGTCCCTCTGTCTCCTCGTGTCTCTGCTGTTCACATAAACACGTCCCTCTGTCTCCTCGTGTCTCTGCTGTTCACATAAACACGTCCCTCTGTCTCCTCGTGTCTCTGCTGTTCACATAAACACGTCCCTCTGTCTCCTCGTGTCTCTGCTGTTCACATAAACACGTCCCTCTGTCTCCTCGTGTCTCTGCTGTTTACATAAACACGTCCCTCTGTCTCCTCGTGTCTCTGCTGTTCACATAAACACGTCCCTCTGTCTCCTCGTGTCTGCTGTTCACATAAACACGTCCCTCTGTCTCCTCGTGTCTCTGCTGTTCACATAAACACGTCCCTCTGTCTCCTCGTGTCTCTGCTGTTTACATAAACACGTCCCTCTGTCTCCTCATGTCTCTGCTGTCACATAAACACGTCCCTCTGTCTCCTCGTGTCTCTGCTGTTCACATAAACACGTCCCTCTGTCTCCTCGTGTCTCTGCTGTTCACATAAACACGTCCCTCTGTCTCCTCGTGTCTCTGCTGTTCACATAAACACGTCCCTCTGTCTCCTCGTGTCTCTGCTGTTCACATAAACACGTCCCTCTGTCTCCTCGTGTCTCTGCTGTTCACATAAACACGTCCCTCTGTCTCCTCGTGTCTCTGCTGTTCACATAAACACGTCCCTCTGTCTCCTCGTGTCTCTGCTGTTCACATAAACACGTCCCTCTGTCTCCTCATGTCTGCTGTTCACATAAACACGTCCCTCTGTCTCCTTGTGTCTCTGCTGTTCACATAAACACGTCCCTCTGTCTCCTCGTGTCTCTGCTGTTCACATAAACACGTCCCTCTGTCTCCTCGTGTCTCTGCTGTTCACATAAACACGTCCCTCTGTCTCCTCGTGTCTCTGCTGTTCACATAAACACGTCCCTCTGTCTCCTCGTGTCTCTGCTGTTCACATAAACACGTCCCTCTGTCTCCTCGTGTCTCTGCTGTTTACATAAACACGTCCCTCTGTCTCCTCGTGTCTCTGCTGTTCACATAAACACGTCCCTCTGTCTCCTCGTGTCTCTGCTGTTTACATAAACACGTCCCTCTGTCTCCTCGTGTCTCTGCTGTTCACATAAACACGTCCCTCTGTCTCCTCGTGTCTCTGCTGTTCACATAAACACGTCCCTCTGTCTCCTCGTGTCTCTGCTGTTCACATAAACACGTCCCTCTGTCTCCTCGTGTCTCTGCTGTTCACATAAACACGTCCCTCTGTCTCCTCGTGTCTCTGCTGTTCACATAAACACGTCCCTCTGTCTCCTCGTGTCTCTGCTGTTCACATAAACACGTCCCTCTGTCTCCTCGTGTCTGCTGTTCACATAAACACGTCCCTCTGTCTCCTCGTCTCTGCTGTTCACATAAACACGTCCCTCTGTCTCCTCGTGTCTCTGCTGTTCACATAAACACGTCCCTCTGTCTCCTCGTGTCTCTGCTGTTTACATAAACACGTCCCTCTGTCTCCTCGTCTCTGCTGTTTACATAAACACGTCCCTCTGTCTCCTCGTGTCTCTGCTGTTCACATAAACACGTCCCTCTGTCTCCTCGTGTCTCTGCTGTTCACATAAACACGTCCCTCTGTCTCCTCGTGTCTCTGCTGTTCACATAAACACGTCCCTCTGTCTCCTCGTGTCTCTGCTGTTCACATAAACACGTCCCTCTGTCTCCTCGTGTCTCTGCTGTTTACATAAACACGTCCCTCTGTCTCCTCGTGTCTCTGCTGTTCACATAAACACGTCCCTCTGTCTCCTCGTGTCTCTGCTGTTTACATAAACACGTCCCTCTGTCTCCTCGTGTCTCTGCTGTTCACATAAACACGTCCCTCTGTCTCCTCGTCTCTGCTGTTCACATAAACACGTCCCTCTGTCTCCTCGTGTCTCTGCTGTTCACATAAACACGTCCCTCTGTCTCCTCGTGTCTCTGCTGTTCACATAAACACGTCCCTCTGTCTCCTCGTCTCTGCTGTTTACATAAACACGTCCCTCTGTCTCCTCGTGTCTCTGCTGTTTACATAAACACGTCCCTCTGTCTCCTCGTGTCTCTGCTGTTGACATAAACACGTCCCTCTGTCTCCTCGTCTCTGCTGTTCACATAAAACACGTCCCTCTGTCTCCTCGTGTCTCTGCTGTTCACATAAACACGTCCCTCTGTCTCCTCGTGTCTCTGCTGTTTACATAAACACGTCCCTCTGTCTCCTCGTGTCTCTGCTGTTTACATAAACACGTCCCTCTGTCTCCTCGTGTCTCTGCTGTTCACATAAACACGTCCCTCTGTCTCCTCGTGTCTCTGCTGTTCACATAAACACGTCCCTCTGTCTCCTCGTGTCTCTGCTGTTCACATAAACACGTCCCTCTGTCTCCTCGTGTCTCTGCTGTTTACATAAACACGTCCCTCTGTCTCCTCGTCTCTGCTGTTTACATAAACACGTCCCTCTGTCTCCTCGTGTCTCTGCTGTTCACATAAACACGTCCCTCTGTCTCCTCGTGTCTCTGCTGTTCACATAAACACGTCCCTCTGTCTCCTCGTGTCTCTGCTGTTTACATAAACACGTCCCTCTGTCTCCTCGTGTCTCTGCTGTTCACATAAACACGTCCCTCTGTCTCCTCGTGTCTCTGCTGTTCACATAAACACGTCCCTCTGTCTCCTCGTGTCTCTGCTGTTTACATAAACACGTCCCTCTGTCTCCTCGTGTCTCTGCTGTTTACATAAACACGTCCCTCTGTCTCCTCGTGTCTCTGCTGTTCACATAAACACATTTGGGGACATTTGGTTCCTGAGCATGTCTGAGGTGGTGTAGAGGAAACAGAATTATCTAATGCATTCTTGTGGCAGCTTTACATCCTGGTCCAAAAGTTCTCTGCTGAGGAGGATTTGTTTTGGACCAAACGAGTTTATCCTCTTTCAGCCATGAGTCCGACTGGATCCATCGAGCACCAACGACACAGCCTCCTCTCAGGAAGCGGCTGGTGCAGCTAACGTGTGCAGCTAACGCGTGCAGCTAACGCGTGCAGCTAACGCATGCGCTAAAGCGCTCTTTCACCATTTTCCTGTGGGAGGGGCCAATCGCAGCCATTTTGAGACGGTCCATGTTGGTCACATACTTTTTAACAGAAGAAATAGGCGTCTCTGTGTTTATTAATATGTACAGCCTCTGGTCTCTGCTGTTCACATAAACGTCAGCAGATGGAGGTGTCCAGATCTGGACGGAGAGGTTTTCCTGCACCACAATAACGCATACATTACTCTGAGTTCTTTCTCGCGACGTGCATACACACATCAGCAGTGAACGCAGAGGCTCCAGGTGTGGACAGGACTGATGCAGCAGCAGTCAGGAGTCTTCATGGTCCTCATGGTCCTCATGGTCTTCATGGTCTTCATGGTCTTCATGGTCTTCAGACGTCAGGATTTATGAAAGAATAAAAACATGTCTGTCTCTGTGGAGCAGAGAAAATAATGACAAAAACCTCACAGAGAAACAGAGCAGGATCAGCTGTATCTGTGTGTCTGTGTGTGTTGTGTTGTGTTGTGTGTGTCGTGCTGTGATCAGCTGTGTTGTGCGTCAGTATGTGTGTTAGTGGTGGAAATAATCGATTCTGTTCAGTATCGTGATATTTTCAGTAGAGAAAAGTATTTAACTAAATAATTATCTGTTTCTTTAGAGTTTTATCTGAGTTTCCTCTGTTTCGCTCTGAGCTTTTTCTGACCCTATGTTGTGAGTCTATGATGTATGCTTGTTGTGACTCTAGGATGTGACTCTATGATGTCTGTTGTGAGTCTATGATGTCTGTTGTGACTCTATGTCTGCTGCTTGTTGTGACTATGACGTCTGTTGTGACTCTATGATGTCTGTTGTGACTCTATGATGTCTGTTGTGACTCTATGATGTCTGTTGTGACTCTATGACGTCTGTTGTGACTCTATGACGTCTGTTGTGACTCTGTGATGTCTGTTGTGACTCTATGACGTCTGTTGTGACTCTGTGATGTCTGTTGTGACTCTATGACGTCTGTTGTGACTCTATGACGTCTGTTGTGACTCTATGATGTCTGTTGTGACTCTATGACGTCTGTTGTGACTCTATGATGTCTGCTTGTTGTGACTCTATGACGTCTGTTGTGACTCTATGATGTCTGCTTGTTGTGACTCTATGACGTCTGTTGTGACTCTATGACGTCTGTTGTGACTCTATGTCTGTTGTGACTCTATGACGTCTGTTGTGACTCTATGACGTCTGTTGTGACTCTATGACGTCTGTTGTGACTCTATGACGTCTGTTGTGACTCTATGATGTCTGCTTGTTGTGACTCTATGATGTCTGTTGTGACTCTATGATGTCTGCTTGTTGTGACTATGACGTCTGTTGTGACTCTATGATGTCTGTTGTCACTCTGTGATGTCTGTTGTGACTCTGTGACGTCTGTTGTGACTCTATGACATCTGTTGTGACTCTATGACGTCTGTTGTGACTATGATGTCTGTTGTGACTCTGTGACGTCTGTTGTGACTCTAAGATGTCTGTTGTGACTCTATGATGTCTGCTTGTTGTGACTATGACGTCTGTTGTGACTCTATGATGTCTGTTGTCACTCTGTGATGTCTGTTGTGACTCTGTGACGTCTGTTGTGACTCTATGACGTCTGTTGTGACTCTATGATGTCTGTTGTGACTATGATGTCTGTTGTGACTCTGTGATGTCTGTTGTGACTCTGTGACGTCTGTTGTGACTCTGTGATGTCTGTTGTGACTCTATGACGTCTGTTGTGACTCTATGATGTCTGTTGTGACTATGATGTCTGTTGTGACTCTGTGATGTCTGTTGTGACTCTGTGACGTCTGTTGTGACTCTATGACGTCTGTTGTGACTCTATGATGTCTGTTGTGACTATGATGTCTGTTGTGACTCTGTGATGTCTGTTGTGACTCTAAGATGTCTGTTGTGACTCTATGATGTCTGTTGTCACTCTGTGATGTCTGTTGTGACTCTGTGACGTCTGTTGTGACTCTATGACGTCTGTTGTGACTCTATGATGTCTGTTGTGACTATGATGTCTGTTGTGACTATGATGTCTGTTGTGACTCTATGATGTCTGTTGTGACTCTATGATGACTCTATGATAATATTGAATTGTGGCCAAAATATCACAATACTATCGAATACTATCGACATTTTTGCCCATTTCCACCCTGTGTGTGTGTCTCTGTATGTGTGTCTCTGTGTGTGTCTCTGTATGTGTGTGTGTGTGTGTCTCTGTATGTGTGTGTTGTGTGTCTCTGTGTGCGTCTCTGTATGTGTGTATGTGTGTGTGTGTGCGTATCTGTATGTGTGTGTGTGTGTCTCTCTGTGTGTGTCTCTGTATGTGTGTGTTGTGCGTCTGTGTGTGTGTGTGTTGTTCAGTTGTGTTGTGTTTTGTGTGCAGGAGGCAGGCCGTAGCGAGGGCGGTAGATGGGCGGATGGGGTAGGCACTTCTCCTTATGTCACACGCACCACGAGCCCAACAGGGATGTCAGGGCACACGGAGCACACGGAGGGAATCCTGCTACTGACACTAGACACACAGAGTAACACTAGTTGCCACAGTCATAGAAGGCTTTTTTGCAGTTAAATTGCTGGTGCTTTGAAAGTTACGTCTCCCAGCTTTAAGTATTTCACATATTTTCAGTTATGTCTTTGTTTTTGTATTTTTTATTTTTTTATTTCCACGTTTTAAAATGATGACATTTACAGAGATTTTACTCAGAAACAGGAGAGAACACAAAACCTTTTTACACTCAGACAAAAAGACACTTGGACAAAGAATAACACTCACATAAAGACACACACACACAGGTACACACACAGAGACACACACGCACACACATACACAGCTAAAGACATACACACATTCACATTCACACACGGAGACACACACAGACACAGTAACACAAACACACACACACAGTAACACAAACAAAGACACACACACAGTAACACACACACAGTAACACACACACAGACACACACACACACACACACACACACACACACACACAGTAACACAAACACAGACACACACACACACACAGTACCTGACATCCCTGGGCCTCTCGTCTGCATGCCTCCCCTGGGTCCTAAAGCCTGCTGGATGTGACTAACCTGCATGGAGCCTCTAACACACACTGGAAACTGAGGTGGTGTTTACACAGAGACAGTAACACGTTAGAGTTTATATTGTTTCCATGGAGACGGTGTTTCAGGTAAAAATGCAGAGAAACGGCCTCAGAGTGGAACAGAACAGAGTCGCTGCCCCCTACTGGCCGGGCGCTAGAACTACACAGTTTTCCGTCGTTGCGCGTCTCCGTCCAAACGGGGCCTGAGTGTTTTGAGCTGTGTCCTCTGAGCTCTGTTCGCACTGACCTTCTACACCACACCTGGAGTCGTGTTTAGATCCATCCATGCTGCATCAGGAACCTGTGCCACAAACACTGTCCATGGACCTTTTATCAGGAGTGGACACAGTGTGACATCACCACCGTGTGACATCACCACAGTGTGACATCACCACCGTGTGACATCACCACAGTGTGACATCACCACAGTGTGACATCACCACAGTGTGACATCATCACAGTGTGACATCACCACAGTGTGACATCACCACCGTGTGACATCACCACCGTGTGACATCACCACAGTGTGACATCACCACAGTGTGACATCACAGTGTTAGCATTAAGCTGGAGCCAGTTTCCTTATGAGGGCATTTGTTTTGACGACGTTAGCTCTGCGCCATAACTGGGGCAGACGTGTTGCTAAGACGGTTGCTAAGGCGAGCTGGAGTTTGAATGAAGGCTCCTGATTGGTCGATCCTTCTATGGCTCAGAGATCTCTCTCAAGATATAAACACCACCATGTGACAGAAACTGTCACAAAGTTCCACATCTTCGTTGTCAGAGCGTTTAAACTATGGTCTCTCTTGTCTTTCTTTAGTCTCTCTCTCTGGTCTCTCTCTGGTCTCTCTCTGGTCTCTCTCTGGTCTCTCTCTCTGGTCTCTCTCTGGTTTCTCTCTCTAGTCTCTCTCTCTGGTCTCTCTCTCTGGTCTCTCTCTCTGGTCTCTCTCTCTGGTCTCTCTCTGGTCTCTCTCTCTGGTCTCTCTCTGGTCTCTCTCTCTGGTCTCTCTCTCTGGTCTCTCTCTCTGGTCTCTCTCTTTGGTCTCATCTGGTCTGAGGTGTGAAATGTTTCAGAGATCATTCCTCTTTCCTCTGACCTGATCGTCAATCTTCAGCTTCATGTGGATTTATGTCTTTTTTATTTCAGGGCAAAAAGAAAAGAAGGAAACGAGAGAAGACACAGGACTCCAGCGCCGGTAACTCACATTATTATCATTAGCATTAGCATTAGCATTTGCATTAGCATTAGCATTAGCATTAGCATTGGTATTGGTATTAGAGACTCAGATTCAATGTCTGGGAAAATCTGGGATTAGATTTAATTAAACACATGGAACCAGGGAGAGACCAGAGAGAGACCAGAGAGAGAGACCAGAGAGAGAGACCAGAGAGAGAGAGACCAGAGAGAGAGACCAGAGAGAGAGACCAAAGAGAGAGACCAGAGAGAGAGACCAAAGAGAGAGACCAGAGAGAGAGACCAGAGAGAGAGAGACCAGAGAGAGAGACCAAAGAGAGAGACCAGAGAGAGAGACCAGAGAGAGAGACCAAAGAGAGAGACCAGAGAGAGACCAGAGAGAGACCAGAGAGAGACCAGAGAGAGACCAGAGAGAGACCAGAGAGAGACCAGAGAGAGAGACAGCGTCAGTAAAAACTCACCTTTAACATTTTCTTTTCATTATTAACAAAGTTAACGCCTGTTTTTCCTCTTTTTAACATTTTGTGATTCTCAACCTTTAACATCTCACACACACAGATACAAAGTCATCTTCATCGATGAAGATGAAGATGAAGGTCCTTGTTGGTCCCACAGTGAAAGTTCAGTGTTGCATCGTCAGACACAGACACAAGAACAATAACACAATAATACTGTGGTTGAGAATCACAACTTTACTCTGTCCTTTCTCATGGTTCTTCCTCTTTTCTCCTCTCTCCCTCTGTCTCTCTATCTCTCCCCTCTCTCTCCCCCGTCTCTCTCTCTGTCTCCCTCTCTCTCTCTCCCCCGTCTCTCTCTCCTTGTCTCTCTCTCTCTCTCTCTCCTGTCTCTCTCTCTGCTCCCTCTGTCTCTCTCTCTCGTGTCTCTCTCTCTGCTCCCTCTGTCTCTCTCTCTGTCTCTCTCTCTCCTGTCTCTCTCTCTCTGCTCCCTCTGTCTCTCCTGTCTCTCTCTCTCCCTCTCTCTCTCTCTCACTCTCTCTCCTGTCTCTCTCTCTCACTCTCTCTCTGTCTCTCCTGTTTCTCTCTCTCTCTCACTCTCTCTCTCACTCTCTCCCCCTGTCTCTCTCTCCCTCTGTCTCTCTCTCTTTTCTGTCTCTCTCTCTCTCCTGTCTCACTCTCTCCCCTGTCTCTCTCTCTCTCTCACTCTCTCTCCTGTCTCTCTCTCTCACTCTCTCTCTGTCTCTCCTGTTTCTCTCTCTCTCTCACTCTCTCTCTCACTCTCTCCCCTGTCTCTCTCTCCCTCTGTCTCTCTCTCTTTTCTGTCTCTCTCTCTCTCCTGTCTCACTCTCTCCCCTGTCTCTCTCTCTCTCTCACTCTCTCTCCTGTCTCTCTCTCTCACTCTCTCTCTGTCTCTCCTGTTTCTCTCTCTCTCTCACTCTCTCTCTCACTCTCTCCCCTGTCTCTCTCTCCCTCTGTCTCTCTCTCTTTTCTGTCTCTCTCTCTCTCCTGTCTCACTCTCTCCCCTGTCTCTCTCTCTCTCTCACTCTCTCCCCTGTCTCTCTCTCTCTCTCTCTCACTCTCTCCCCTGTCTCTCTCTCTCTCCTGTCTCTCTCTCTCTCCTGTCTCTCTCTCTCTGGTTCAGACCCTGGTTCTCCAAAGAAATGTCGTGCTCGCTTTGGCCTGAGTCAGCAGACAGACTGGTGCGGGCCGTGCAGGTGCGTGCTGTGCCAAACCACTCACCCTCTTTTACTCTTCATTCAACTGACACACTTTTAGTCCTGGTTTAGTCCTGGTTTAGTCCTGGTTTAGTCCTGGTTTAGTCCTGGTTTAGTCCTGGTTTAGTCCTGGTTTAGTCCTGGTCTGGGTGTGTATTGTATGGCCCTACCCTGGTGTGTTACTGTTGTGTGTCCCATGCGTCTGACCTGATTGTTTATGTACCTACAGCCACTGTCTGTGTGTGTTACTGTTGTGTTGCTGCTGTGTGTGTTACTGTTGTGTTGCTGTTGTGTGTCTCCATCCGTTGTGTGTCTGACTGGTGGTTTATGTACCTACAGACCACTGTCTCTGACCCGTTTAGGAGGAAGAAGAAGTGCATTCGCTACATTCAGCTGTGCCCCTCCCCCTCTTCAGACCTGAGCACCTCTCCCCCTCCCCAGACGCCTCCCCCCACAGACTGTCCCACGGCCGCGTCCCGCCTGCGCCTCGGGGACCGCGCCCTCCGTCACCAGCACCAGCAGCAGCACCATCAGCAGCACCGCTCTCCCTCTCCCCAGACGCCTCCCTCGTCCCGGCGCTCGCAGCTCTGCCTCAGTCGTCTGTCGTTGGCTCGAGCCGCGGGACTCTCTCTCACACTGCTCACCGACGCCACCTGAGGCCAAGCCGAGCCGGGCCGAGCCGTGCCAAGCCGGGCCGAGCTGAGCCGAGTCGAGCCGGGCTGAGCCGAGCTGAGCCAGGCCGAGCTGAGCCGAGTCGAGCCGGGCTGAGCCGAGCTGAGCCAGGCCGAGTGTCCCTCTTGTCCGAGTCTGAGGCGCAGGTCGGACCAAACTACGCTTTTAAATCAAGTTTATTTAGCTGCAATTTTAAATCATGTCCCACTTGGTTCAGTCCTGGTTCAGTCCTGGTTCAGTCCTGGTTCAGTCCTGGTTCAGTCCTGGTTCTTCTGTCACAAGTTTCATGTCCGTCACATCGTTATAAGACAGAAACAGGAGACAGATCAGCTCTCAGCCAATCAGCTCTCAGCCAATCAGCTCTCAGCCAATCAGCTCTCAGCCAATCAGCTCACAGCCAATCAGCTCTCAGCCAATCAGCTCACAGCCAATCAGCTCTCAGCCAATCAGCTCACAGAGTAAGATAGTGACTCTCTGGGCTCTTTCTCTTTGGGACAAACGTGTTATTTATGAAAGTCACTATAAAACCACAGCCACAAAAGCCGACTCTACTCTATGTACTGTAGAGTACTGTAGAGTATAGTAGACTACAGTAGAGTACTGTAGAGTACAGTAGAGTACTGTAGAGTACAGTAGAGCACTGTAGAGCACTGTAGAGTACAGTAGAGTACAGTAGAGTACAGTAGAGTACAGTAGAGCACTGTAGAGTACTGTAGACTACAGTAGACTACAGTAGACTACAGTAGAGTACAGTAGAGTACAGTAGAGTACAGTAGAGCACTGTAGAGTACTGTAGACTACAGTAGACTACAGTAGACTACAGTAGAGTACAGTAGAGTAGAGTAGAGTAGAGTCGGTGGAAACAGGGCTTCTCTCTTTTGGCACTTTCTTCTGTGACTGACTCTGTGTTGATCCGTTGTCGTTGGTTACAATCATTTATGTTTTTAAAGGTGCAGTACGTAAATATAACGATGTCTAAAAGTGCAGAGGTGACAGTACCAGAGAATCTGATCTGGTCTCTCTCTATAGTCTCTCTCTATAGTCTCTCTCTATGGTCTCTCTCTATGGTCTCTCTCTCTCTCTGGTCTCTCTCTCTCTCTGGTCCCTCTCTCTCTGGTTTCTCTCTCTCTGGTTTCTCTCTGGTCTCTCTCTCTGGTCTCTCTCTCTGGTCTCTCTCTCTCTGGTCTCTCTCTCTGTTCTCTCTCTCTCTGGTTTCTCTCTGGTCTCTCTCTCTCTGGTCTCTCTCTCTGGTTTCTCTCTGGTCTCTCTCTCTCTGGTTTCTCTCTGGTCTCTCTCTCTCTGGTCACTCTTTGTGGTCTCTCTCTTTCTAGCCTCTCTCCAATCTCTCTAGTCTTTCTCTGCTCTCTCTTTAGTCTCTCTGGTCTCTCTGTGCTCTGCTCTCTCTCTCTCTGGTCTCTTTCTGCAGATTCTAAAACCCGCTGTATTCTATTGAAAGTTTGGGGAAGTTGCGTAGCGCAGCTTTAACTGTTTATTATTATTATTGTTTTATTCTTGTTTAATGACTGACGTTTGCAGCTGTGTAAAAACCAAATGTTGGAAAAGAAATTGTTTCTTTCCGTTTTCTCGCGTTCTCGTCTCGAACTCGTCACAAACTTTCATTTGTTTATTATTTGGAAAAATCAATGACACTTTTTTGTATTTTTGAAGCATTGAAATCCATTGTTTTTGTTACGTGTAATAAAGTGTTTTAATATTTGTCTGTGTCATCTGTGAGGTCACAAACAAACGGCAGCACGGAGCTAACAAAGCTAACAATGCTAACCCGCTAGCTTCATGGAGCCCAATATGGAAGTGCTCATGGTGAAGGTTCTCTGGTCTCTCCCTGATCTCTCTCTCAGCTCTCTTTCTGGTCTCATTCTGGTGTATCTCTCTTTGGTCTCCCTTTGGTCTCTCTCTTAGGTCTCTTTCTGGTCTTTGGTCTCTCGGAGGTCTCTCTCGGAGGTCTCTCTCGGAGGTCTCTCAGAGGTCTCTCTCGGAGGTCTCTCTCGGAGGTCTCTCTCAGAGGTCTCTCTCAGAGGTCTCTCTCGGAGGTCTCTCTCGGAGGTCTCTCTCGGAGGTCTCTCTCGGAGGTCTCTCTCGGAGGTCTCTCTCGGAGGTCTCTCTCGAAGGTCTCTCTCGGAGGTCTCTCTCGGAGGTCTCTCTCGGAGGTCTCTCTCGGAGGTCTCTCTCGGAGGTCTCTCTCGGAGGTCTCTCTCGGAGGTCTCTCTCGGAGGTCTCTCTCGGAGGTCTCTCTCGGAGGTCTCTCTCGGAGGTCTCTCTCGGAGGTCTCTCTCTAGTGTGCTTGATCCTGGCTAGACTCCACAGCGGAACAATGGCGCCCTCCTGTGGTGGAATTGTGAACGGCAGCTGTCATTTTACTCGAAGCCAAAGAGAAACCGTTTGATCACGTGATTCAGACGAAATATAGAAAATAGTGAAAACAAAACTGGTGTAATCAGTTTGTCTTTCCTTATTTAATATTAAAAAATAAATAATGCATTGGTTTCAGATATTGCTTTTCTGGACTCTCATCACTTCTTTCAGTCCAAACACAGGTAATAAACTACTGTAGCCACAGCTGCCCTGGGGCACACCGACAGAAGCGAGACAACCAGTCTGTGCCTTCATAAGTAATTAAATATAATCTTATATATATTATAATACACCATGTTAGTTACAATTTACAGATTCATAAACTGGGTCTCTCTCCCTGGTCTCTTTCTCTCCCTGGTCTCTCTGGTCTCCCTCTCGCTCTGGCCTCTCTCTCTGGTCTCTCTCTCTTTCTAGTCTCTCTCTCCCTGGTCTCTCTGCTCTTCAGAGAGACTAAAGAGAGAGCTCTTTAGTCTCTCTGCTCTCTCTCTTTAGTCTCTCTCTCTGGTCTCTCTCTTTCTGCAGATTCTAAAACCCGCTGTATTCTATTGAAAGTTTGGGGAAGTTACGTAGCGCAGCTTTAACTGTTTATTATTATTATTGTTTTATTCTTGTTTAATGACTGACGTTTGCAGCTGTGTAAAAACCAAATGTTGGAAAAGAATCTTGTTTCTTTCCGTTTTCTCGTCTCGTCTCGAACTCGTCACAAACTTTTATTTGTTTATTATTTGAAAAATCAATGACACTTTTTTGTATTTTTGAAGCATTGAAATCCATTGTTTTTGTTACGTATAATAAGCGGGATAACGTATATTACGCATATATTACGGAAGGTACTTATTTTCCGATAATGACCTGCGTAATATACGTTATTCCGCTTATTATACGGCTTTATACCGACAGAACACAGAACATAAACTTCAGTCCACTTTTAGGAATGCCGAAAGGTTTATTTAATGACAGAAAATAAAATAGTTCCCAAAGGCTTTCCCGTGGCTATGCTAGCAACAGTTAGCTTAGTAACTTCCAAACTAGAACTCTCTGGAACTGCATGAAAACTGAACAAAGAATCCTGAACATCAGCGGTGAGATACCCAAACATAAACTTAAACTAAATCCATAATTCCATCCTCTGCAAATGTTCCTAAAATGTGCCGGTATCTACTTCTGGATTTTTCGGGATCGCCTTTTCTCGCATTACATCAGTGTTTTTGTTATGAAAACGTAAACGGAAAATTCTGAAAACTTCCGTGCACTTGTATTAAGACTGGATATGTATAATTCACTCTCCGATAAACATTTCATTGCGTTGATTGATTGGCATTTGCGTTTATTGAGCGGCCGGAACTACTTCCGGGTTTTTCACGATCGCTTTTTGACGCAGAGAAATAGTATTTTTGTCGTGAAGACAAGACCAGAAAATTCTGAAAATGTCCGTGCACGTGTGTGAAGAATGTATGTGTATAAGTATTCTCCGATTAACATTTAAGTGTGTTGATTGAGCGTGGCTAGCTCCGGAGCGGCCGGAACTACTGTCGGAGTTATCCACGTGTGACCGGTGTGTCCTGCCTTCTCTTCAATGACCCATGGAGACTTTAGAGCTTGTGGTAGAAGTCGTGTTTTATTATCTGCACAGATAACATTAGACACTGTGAATAACTGGTAGTGGACTCTCATGTGCTCTGTGCTGTCTCGTTCTCGTCTCGAGTTCTCCAGACAGTGAGAATCAATTGTATACCTAATTTGTAGTTACAATATTTAAAACAACTACAATATTGTAATTACACATAAAAAAAATACAATTATAATAATACACATTAAAATAAAAATACAATACCTTTTTACCAAATATAGCATTGTAAATAGTTCTTGTGATTGTATAGTGGTTTTTAATAAACAATCATGAAATATCTTATACCAAATAATACTTTTTCTAGCTGCCAATTATGTATGAAATGCATGTGTCACAACTCTACTTTATCGAAATGGTGCAACGCACATTTAACCAATAGTAAAACAAACAAATGTACAGAAAAAAACATATTAAACATTACATACCTGCACAGATAACATTAGACACTGTGAATAACTGGTAGTGGACTCTCATGTGCTCTGTGCAGTCTCGTTCTGCAAAGGGACATCGGTTAGCCGTACACTAAGCTAGGTTCTCCGGTAGAAAAACACGGTTAAATAAAAGATATTACACAAAACCTTTTCTTAAACATGGCGAAATATACACCAGCTAAATACTACACAACAATTAATCACTAGCTTAGCATTTCAATGGCTACACATGAGTAAACTAATAATTCTGTCCACACAAATTCACGGACATGTTACCTCGTCTCGAGTTCTCCAGACAGTGAAAGAACTCGGGACTTTCCGCGCGAACTAAGGGTGCAGGTATGGCAAACGCCAGAAGATGGCGCTGTGTCCACAATTTACGTGGATTTAATTGTACTCTAATAACTATGTTACATACACCCCTCTTAAATCCTGCTAAATTGTGGTTCATCCTAACAGAGAGAAAAAAAAATAATGCGACAAACTGTGCGATTGAAGAGCAATATCAAGTTCAAGTCAGAAACAATCACTATCCACTTGGGATTAAGCTTGCTAAAGGGATAGCTAAGCCCTTTAACAGCAGAGACTCAAGAGATGCCGTTTACATCCCTCATAAGGCAAACAATGCTCTCACTCCACATACAAAAAAAAAATCTCAGCATTTTCTTCATATTTTCTATGTATGACTACCTCAAAGGAAAACGAAAAAAAAAATACAATACCAAAACAGGTTCTCTTTAACCTGAGGAACCCCACAAGAACCTCACAAGAGAAACCGCTGAAGATACATCATCAACAACTCTTTGACCCATTTGACACACCAAACGAACAGGAGGCCTGACATCTCGACCAGTTCTAGTACGGAGGGGTAGAGGCTGAGCGCTAAGTTCGTGGCTCGACTGCTTGAAAGGACGGGCACAACTAGACTCACGAGAATGGGGCTGGGATAAACTCACAGTAGGACTCGTCATTTGTGTCTCAACATCAGCCTCAGGAGACTGGCCATCCACAGAGTCACCATCAGAGACACAAATCTGACTAACAGAAGCGTCTTCGTCACTGACATTATCAGTCCGTAAAAGCCATTGCGCGGTTTTTGTCTCACTGTCCTGTACTTCAACAGGAATGTCAGGATCACAGGGGACACTATTATGGGCTTGAGAAGGGCCATCAGACTCCGGTGGGTCTCCATCACCAGCCGGGAGGAAACTCACAGGGAGGAGAAGGTTTCTGTGAACAACTTTGACTTTCTGAGTGAGAGGGTCCCTGATGGAATACACATTGATCTCAAGTTTCACAGATATAACCTCATATACTTTAGAGTCCCATTTGTCCGCTACTTTCCTCTTTCCTCTCTCACCACGGTTTGCGAGCAAGACTCTGTCTCCAATGGTAAGGGGTGAGCCTTTAACTTTGCGGTTGTAGTTATCGGTCTGCCGAACTTGCTCAGACCTGCTGTGTTTTAGGGCAATACGCGCCGCCTCAGCCAAGTCGCGTCGCAGTACGGCAACAAACTCACGGTGGCTAACGACAGAACTGTTATGAAGCACATTTTGGAAAACAACATCTACAGGGAGACGCGGGATGCGCCCAAACATAAGATAAAAAGGTGCAAACCCTGTCGTCTCATGTTCGGTACAGTTGTAACAAAATGTCAGAGTCTGTAACATTTGAGGCCACCTAGCCTTGGAGTTTGGGGGTAGGGCACGTATCATGTTTCCCAGAGTCCTGTTGTATCTTTCCGCTATACCATTCCCCATCGGGTGGTACGGAGTGGTGTGCGATTTCTGGACACCAGCCATCTCCAGCAGTTCTCTTATGAGTTGACTCTCAAAATTCGCACCCTGGTCTGAATGAATCCTTTTTGGGAAGCCGTAAACACAGAAAAAGTCATTCCAGAGACAACGAGCGACTTGTTTAGCTGACTGATTTTTACACTGGAAAGCGTGAGCAAGTTTAGAAAAATGATCAGTGACAACCAAAACATCAACACACTTCTTATCTGTTTGTTCAGCAGTCCAAAAGTCGATGCACACCAGTTCCATCGGCTCTGAGGTGTGAATGCTTTCAAGGGGTGCACGGTCCTTGGGTTCAGGGGTTTTTCCAACCAGACACCTGAAACAGTTTTTAACATGGTTGACAACGTCACATTCCATTCCAATCCAGAAGAATCTTTGTCTGGCCAACGACAGCGTTCGAGCCTGTCCTTGATGACCAGCCGAGTCGTGAAGTCCATTCAGTACCTGAGTCTTTAAAGAGTCCGGCACAACAAACTGGTTTATCGTCACGTTCATTTTAATGTCCTTTTTTGATCTGTACAACATGCCATCTCTGATTGAAAGTTTGGGCCAATGTCTGAGTAACTTCCTGACACCACAAGACTCATCAGCACGTTCATGTCTTGAGGGTCTCTTGTGCCTCTGGACATAATAAAAAACACGGTTCAAGATTTCATCCTGCTCTTGAATGTTGGCAAGTTGGCTTTTTGGCAAGGAGGCATGATGGTCCACGCCAGTGAGTTGTGGGATGTCCGGACCAGCACCTCTGATTTGGCTGACACCATCGACGTGAGCACCCAACACAGCCTGAACATCATCAAAGGACAGCTGAGGTGAACTAATAGAACGCTCAAACTGACTCTCCACTATCTGGCAGTTATTAGTGCACCTGAACGCATCCTGGACTTTCCTGTCAGCTACCTCACTGATCTGGGCAAGCAGGAATGAGTATGGCTCAGTGACCAGACGGTGGGCAATGCAAGACTTAACAAAAGGCTCTCTACTCAGCGCGTCAGCGACTACATTTTTAGCACCAGGGACATAGTTAAGATCAAAATTGTAAGCAGCAAGTTTAGCAACCCATCTCTGCTCACAAGCGTCAAGTTTTGGTTTTGTCAAAATGTACGTGAGCGGGTTATTGTCAGTCCACACAGAAAAAGTCCGTCCCTTCAACCAATGGCTAAATTTCTCACAAACCGCCCATTTAAGTGCCAGGAACTCCAGACCATGTGCCGGGTAGTTTAACTGGGAATGGGAGAGAGTCTTACTAGCAAAAGCCACGGGCCTGGCAATTTCGCTACCAGGGGGGAGTTGCGAGAGGACAGCGCCTATACCGTCAAAAGAAGCGTCTACCGCAAGAATAAAGGGAGCGTCAAAGTCTGGATGAGCCAACGTCACACAGTGCACCAAGTCGTGTTTCAGAGTCTCAAAAGCGTGTCTACAGTCATCAGTCCAGTCAGAAGGTGCCAACCTCACTAAACCCTTCTTAAACTTCGGTTTAGGATGCCTACCCCTCTTTCTCTTAGATGTAGTGGGCTCTGACACCAGACTAAATAATGGCCTAGCTTTAGCTGAACACGCCTCAATAAAATGGTGGTAATACAAGACCATTCCTAAGAAGGACCTGATTTTCTTAGCACTGGGAGTTACACGATCTGACTCCATGAGGTCACTCTCCTGTACTTCATTGATGGTCTGAACCTTGCCTGGGTCAGTCATGACACCATCCTCACAAACTATGTGGCCCAGAAACTTAACAGAGCGCTGGAGGAAATGGCACTTTTTGGGCGAAAGCTTGAGGTTGTTAGCAGCTAGACGCGAAAAAACCATTTCCAAGCGTTCAAGGGCGATCTGCTCGGAAGGTGCATACACAAGAAGATCGTCCAGGTAACATAGCAGACTTGTGAAGTTCTCGTCTCCAAAAATCGACATCATCATGCGCATAAAAGTGGCAGGACTGTTTGTTAGGCCTTGCGGCATCCTATTGTACTCATGGAGGCCAAACGGTGAGGAGAAGGCTGTGTATTTCTTGTCATCCTGGTGCAGCTTGACATTATAGAAACCTGAAGTGAGGTCCATGGTAGAAAAAAACACATTGCCACCAAGCGCAGAAAGCGCGTCTGTTTGATGGGGCAAAGGGTGCGCATCTTTCACAGTTCTCGCATTAAGCCATCTGAAGTCATTACAAATGCGCAGATCACCATTGGGCTTCACTACAAGGACAAGCGGAGAGGAGTACTCGCTCTGAGACTTCCTGATTATGCCCAACACCTCCATATCACTCAAAGCAGTCCTGAGTTTGTCATAGTGGCATGGCGGGACACGTCTCTAAGGGAATCTGAATGGCTTGTTATCCAACAGACGAATCCGGTGGACAAAGTCTTTCGCCTCACCACAGTCCATTTTGTGCCTCGAAAATATAGACTCGTACTGTTCGATAGTGTGTAGTAACTTATTCTTCCACTCCAAAGTTACCTCACAAGACATGACATCAAGTTCTTGAAGGCCCATGTCACACAGGATTTTGTTGATCTCAGCCTCAGACTTTTGAGTGGGTGGTGAGCTCGGAGAGAACTGAGTATTTGACTGTACACGTTTTGGATCCGGTAAGTCCTGCACAGATGAACAAGACGACACATCCACAACTTTAGCATTCTTTCTCAATATGAGTGGTTTGGTAGTGGGGTTCACAATTTTAACAGGCACCCAACCATCACCATAAAGAGAGGTAACAACCCTGCCAACCAGGATTTGAGCCGGTCTTGTCCTGGAATGAGTGGGCTCAACAAGGACTGAATCACCCACAGCATTAGCGTCAACGACAGGCAACCTCGCCCACACTAAATGTTCAGTCAAAGGCTGGAGCGTGACACTCTTCTTTAGTTTAGCAGTACCAAGGCTAGCAGGAAAATCCCCTTTATCAATGTGTTTGGTATTGGACAGAAGTGACAATAAAGGTGTCAACTTGTCACTGTGTTCAGAGTCTTCAATCTGGGATATGAGCCATTTCAGAACATTACTGCCCAAGATCAAGTCATCGGATTGGCCTGGCACAACCAGAATAGGGACTACAACTTTAAAACCATGCACTGTCAGCGTGAGATCGTACAGAGCTGTGGGTGAGACTAAGTGACCAACACAACCCACTATAACAAAGTCCTTGGCTGTGCCTCTTTCGACTTGCGGCAACATCTTTGTTAGCTCAGAATCTGTTTTTTCATTCACTGTACATGCCATAGAACCACTGTCAACTAGTGCCTTTATTACATGTCCGTTCTCAGTGACCACTTCAGTGTGGAACAGTGTGTCTGTCTTTGAAAGTCTCTGCAGGCCTTGCATAATAACAGTTTTACCAGACGGCACAGTACTGCTAAAAGTATCATAAAGTGACTCAAGATAGACTCCATATTCAAGGCGGGAGGGTCATTAACTCGATCTGCGCTGTCCTCCCCTGCGCGCAGACCACTCAGTTTCCCTGCTGGTCAGTGTGGGAGGTTTGTTTATTCTGAGGACAGTCGCGTCTGGCATGACCAGGTAAGTGGCACAGGAAACACAGATTGTTGTCGCGGCAGTGGGTCAGTGCCGAGTGGGAGACGTTATTACAAACCAGACATGGAGCACTCGTAAAGCCCTTCACTTTCGGGGATCTCTGATCACCGCGCGGCTTCCTGCTGGCCAGAGTGGTCTGATTCTGTAACAGGACTTTTTCAAGCATTGAAATCAGCCTCTCTAAGGTTGAATTATCAGACACATTAGTTGCATGAGGCACGTTAGGGCTTAGTTCAACCTTGTTCATCATAACTCTGTTATTAACACTTGAGCATTTTGGTCCTCTCTCTAGGTGGTATTCGTCTAACACTTCCTGGACCTCACGAGCTGTCCACTTATCAATAGTTTTGGATCTAAAGGTGAGAGCTAGATCTTTGCTGGGACAGTGCCTTATGAACATACGGGTGACTTCCACACTGGGATTATCAAACTCTTTACCTTGCTCACTAAGACAGCTCACAGCATTATCTGCAGCTCTATTCAGCCTCAACCAAAACTCATAAGGGTCCTCGTTCTCTTTTGGCAGTGTGGAGTAAAAGTCAGCAAGTGGTACCGAGGAGCAAACACTGGGGCTAAAGTGCTTACGCAGGAGACTATAAATGGCATTTGGATTGCTTTTAACATCAACTTCACCATTTCTAATCCCAAACTTAACAATGTCCTTTGCCCTGCCTCTTAAATGGACGATGATTTCCTCCGCCTGACTCTCAAGCGGGACACTATTTTTACAAATAAAATGTCTCATTGACTCTTCCCACTCATCAATGGACACAGAATCTGAACCCTCCCCTTTAAATGCAGGAGGCTCTTTAGCACCCGTTCGCACAAAAGCCACTTGGGAAAGGTCTAATGTGCGATTGTAAACTGGCTCACACTCATCCGGTGTACTTTGATGACCTTTGGGCACACTTATATTAGGAGACGTATTCAACCTTGTAACAATACTGTCCGCTAACTGCTGTCCGATCTGTTGTACAATGTCACTCATTTGGTTGACCAATCCAACATTCTCGAAAGCAGACTCTTGTGCAGTACTGCACTGAGGTTGATTAATATCGGCAGCAGGACTAATGTGTGGCGTTACATTATCATTAACTACCACGTTTCCACCACCTCCAAGAGTGAATGGGACCGGAGAAAACTGTAACCCACGGCCCCTCCCGAACCCTAACGGTGAGTTGGTTCTGCTGAAGCTCATGTTTGATAGCTTTAAGAGTCAATGACGAGATGCAGAGCAGGCGTCCAGCGCAGACACGACAGCAGCTCCAGGGCGACACAGCGAGAAGACAAGTCCAGTTCGAAGCAGTCGACGAGTCACGGCACCAATGTGACCGGTGTGTCCTGCCTTCTCTTTAATGACCCATGGAGACTTTAGAGCTTGTGGTAGAAGTCGTGTTTTATTATCTGCACAGATAACATTAGACACTGTGAATAACTGGTAGTGGACTCTCATGTGCTCTGTGCTGTCTCGTTCTCGTCTCGAGTTCTCCAGACAGTGAGAATCAATTGTATACCTAATTTGTAGTTACAATATTTAAAACAACTACAATATTGTAATTACACATAAAAAAAATACAATTATAATAATACACATCAAAATAAAAATACAATACCTTTTTACCAAATATAGCATTGTAAATAGTTCTTGTGATCGTATAGTGGTTTTTAATAAACAATCATGAAATATCTTATACTAAATAATACTTTTTCTAGCTGCCAATTATGTATGAAATGCATGTGTCACAACTCTACTTTATCGAAATGGTGCAACGCACATTTAACCAATAGTAAAACAAACAAATGTACAGAAAAAAACATATTAAACATTACATACCTGCACAGATAACATTAGACACTGTGAATAACTGGTAGTGGACTCTCATGTGCTCTGTGCTGTCTCGTTCTGCAAAGGGACATCGGTTAGCCGTACACTAAGCTAGGTTCTCCGGTAGAAAAACACGGTTAAATAAAAGATATTACACAAAACCTTTTCTTAAACATGGCGAAATATACACCAGCTAAATACTACACAACAATTAATCACTAGCTTAGCAATTTCAATGGCTACACATGAGTAAACTAATAATTCTGTCCACACAAATTCACGGACATGTTACCTCGTCTCGAGTTCTCCAGACAGTGAAAGAACTCGGGACTTTCCGCGCGAACTAAGGGTGCAGGTATGGCAAACGCCAGAAGATGGCGCTGTGTCCACAATTTACGTGGATTTAATTGTACTAGGAGAGAGGGAGAGGAGAGGAGAGGAGAGGAGGAGAGAGAGGAGAGGAGGGAGAGGAGAGAGGGAGAGAGAGGAGGAGAGAGGAGGGAGAGAAGAGAGAGAGGAGAGGAGGGAGGGAGAGAGAGGAGAGGAGAGAGGAGAGAGGAGAGGAGGGGAGAGGAGGAGAGGAGGGAGGAGGAGAGAGAGGGAGAGGAGAGGGAGGGAGAGGAGGAGGAGAGGGAGAGAGGAGAGAGAGGAGAGAGGGGAGGAGAGAGGAGGGAGGAGGAGAGGAGAGAGGGAGAGGGAGGAGGAGAGAGGGAGGAGGAGAGGAGAGAGAGAGGGAGAGGTGAGGAGAGAGAGGAGGAGGGAGAGAGAGGAGGAGAGAGAGGAGAGGGAGGAGGGGAGAGAGAGGAGGGGAGAGAGGAGAGAGGAGGAGAGGAGAGAGAGGAGGAGAGGGAGAGAGAGGGAGGAGAGGGAGAGGGAGAGGAGAGAGAGGAGGGAGAGAGGAGAGAGAGGAGAGGAGAGGAGGAGAGGAGAGGAGGGAGAGAGGAGAGGAGAGAGGAGAGGAGGGAGAGAGAGGAGGAGAGGAGGAGAAGAGGGGGAGAGGAGAGGGGAGAGGAGGAGGAGAGGAGAGAGAGAAGAGGGGAGAGAGAGGGAGAGGGAGGAGAGGAGAGAGGGAGAGGAGAGGAGAGAGGGAGAGGAGAGGGAGAGAGAGGAGGGAGAGAGAGGAGAGGAGAGGGAGGAGGGGAGGAGAGAGGAGGGGAGGAGAGAGAGGAGAGGAGGAGGAGGAGGAGGAGAGAGGAGAGAGGGAGGAGGAGAGAGGAGAGGAGGGAGGAGGAGAGAGGAGAGGGGAGGAGAGAGAGGAGGGAGAGAAGGAGAGAGAGGAGGAGGAGAGGAGAGGAGGGGAGAGGGAGAGAGGAGAGGAGAGGAGGAGAGGAGAGAGGAGGGAGAGAGAGGAGGGGAGAGAGAGGAGAGGGAGAGGGAGAGAGGGAGGAGAGGAGAGGGGAGAGAGAGGGGAGAGAGTGAGGAGGAGAGGAGAGGAGGAGGAGAGAGAGGAGGAGAGGAGGAGGAGGGAGAGAGAGAGAGGAGAGGAGAGAGAGGGAGAGGAGGGAGAGAGGAGAGGAGAGGGAGAGAGAGGAGGGAGAGGGAGAGAGGAGGAGAGGAGGAGAGGAGAGGAGAGAGGAGAGAGGGAGGAGAGGAGGAGAGGGAGAGAGAGGAGGGAGAGGAGGGAGAGAGGGAGGAGGAGGAGAGGAGAGGAGAGGGAGAGAGGAGAGGAGAGGAGGGGAGGAGAGAGAGGAGAGGGGAGGAGAGGAGGGAGAGGAGAGAGAGAGGAGGAGAGAGGGAGAGAGGAGAGAGGAGGGGAGAGGAGGAGGAGAGGGAGGAGAGAGGAGAGGAGAGGAGAGGAGGAGGAGAGAGGAGGAGAGAGGAGGGAGAGGAGAGGAGGAGAGAGGAGAGAGGAGAGGAGAGGAGAGGAGAGGAGAGGAGAGAGAGGAGAGGAGAGAGGGAGGAGGAGAGAGGAGGGAGAGAGGAGAGAGGAGGAGAGAGGAGGAGGGAGAGAGGAGGAGGAGGAGAGAGAGGAGGAGAGGAGAGGAGAGGAGAGAGGAGGGAGGAGAGGAGAGAGAGAGGGGAGGAGAGGAGAGGAGAGGGAGAGAGAGGAGAGGAGGAGAGAGAGAGGAGGAGAGGAGGAGGGAGAGAGGAGGAGGAGAGAGGAGAGGAGGAGGAGAGGAGAGGGAGAGGGAGGAGAGGAGGGAGAGAGGAGGAGAGGAGGAGAGGAGGAGAGGAGAGGAGGAGAGAGGAGGGAGAGAGAGGAGAGGGGAGGAGAGGAGGAGGGAGAGAGAGGAGAGAGAGGAGAGGAGAGAGAGGAGGGAGAGGAGAGGAGAGAGAGGAGGGAGAGAGGAGGAGAGGAGGAGGGAGGAGAGAGGAGGAGAGAGGAGGAGAGGGGAGGAGAGGAGGAGGAGAGGGAGAGGAGGAGAGGAGGAGGAGAGGGAGGAGAGAGAGGAGAGGAGGAGAGAGAGGAGAGGGAGGAGAGGGAGAGAGAGAGGGAGAGAGAGAGGAGAGGGAGGAGAGGGAGGGGAGAGAGAGGAGGGAGAGGAGGAGAGAGAGGAGGAGGGAGAGGAGAGAGAGGAGGGAGAGAGGAGAGAGGAGAGGAGAGAGAGGAGAGGAGAGAGGAGGAGAGAAGAGGAGAGGGAGAGAGGGAGAGAGGAGAGGGAGAGGAGAGGAGAGAGAGAGGAGAGAGGAGGGAGGAGGAGGAGGGAGAGAGGAGGAGAGGAGAGAGGAGAGAGGAGAGGAGGAGGAGAGGAGAGGAGAGAGGAGAGAGAGAGAGGAGGAGAGAGGTGGAGAGAGAGGAGGAGGGAGA